GACGGCTCTGAATGCAGCCCAACAACACAAATTCGTAAACTTTCTTAAAACACTAAGAGTTTTTTTGCTGTTTTTTTTTTTAAACTCATCAGCTATTGTTAGTGTATTTTACGTGTGACCCAAGACGATTCTTCCGATGTGGCCCAGGGAAGACAAATGGTAACACTCCTGTGTTAGCAAATGAGAACAGCCAACATGTTTCTACTCACAGTTGTTCACATGTACACAAAACTGCCTGATTCCATTAGAATCCATGAAAACTCTTGAAGGAAATGGGGAATTACTCCTGAAGATAAGAGAGTTGTCTACACAAACCCAGCTTGAAGACCTGTGAGGAAAGAGGAAGGAGAAGATATATTTAGAAGGGGCGGGTGCCCCTTCTAGAAGAGTGCCCTAGCAATATCGGCCAGATGCCAAAGAGAGGACTCCTTGGACACCTATAGGACGACACGAAGGTCTTATTCTACTGGCCAGCCCTGCTCTAGAGAATCAGAAAAGGCAGTTTCTAGGAAAAACCAAGGGAATGTCCTAGGAGTGGAAGTAGGGGCAGGAGGCACAAAGCCTAACTCTTCTTACATCCAAATGTTACCCATTGTAGGCTCCAATCCCTTTAGGATTCCATCTGAGCAACGAAGCTCACCTTACACTGCCAGGAAGGCAGAAGGAGAAGACTGTCCTCGGATGGAGAAGATAGCAGTCCCTGTCGCAGCAGCAATTTATATCGCAGGCGCCAGGAGTCAAGTCACAGACACAGATCGGTAAGACTATGAAAGGACAACACAGACTGAGTGGGATGAGGATCCCCAAACTCTCCCAGGTGCTCACCCTCCTTCCGGCAGCCCCACTCCTGCTTTGTGGCAGTTCAACTTTGCTCACAGAATTTTAGATCTCACAAGTAAGTTTCCACCCCCACAACGTTTTCCCTCACCTGGGAAGAGGTCCACAGTCCTATTCCCAGGCGCCGAGGGAGTCACGAGAGTAGGGACCACTGTAGAGATCCCAGGCATTGCTGGGCGAGTTGCCGTCGCCTCTGAAGAGGACTGGAGGGTTCCGCCAACCGTTCCTGGCTGCAGGTCCAAAGACGTGGGCACTGCCCCTGATGGGGAGGAAGAGGGCTGGGGCCGGACGCCATCGGGGAACATCAGGAGGAACATTTGCAGGAGCGCGAGCTGTGGGGTGCGCATGGGGCAGTCAAGGCCTGCAGGTCCGACGTAAGCCACCGCGGTATCCAGACGCGTTGCCAGAGCGTGGGTGGGAGGAGTCGCATAGCGTCTGACGACATCCGCGTGCCTCTTCTCATTGGCTCATGAGAAGAATGAGAGCTCTTCAGCCAATCGAAAGTGGGGTTGTTACAGCTCTTTCAGTGTCCTTCTGTCTGCGCCCTCCTCCTTAACGTGAGCCGGGGCGTGCCTTCGTTGCCTGGCAACCGCCAGTGGAGAAGGAGCCCTTGCGCCTTCTCTCCGCTAGGTGGCGGTAGGAGTTCGGCGGACGGGCAGGTTCCGCGCCCACTTCGCGGCCCAGAGGACTGAGCCCGCCCTCAGTGCAAGGAAATCCCAGAGGCCAGAACTAGAATTGCAAATTTTTTTTCACCCCGGATTCCAATGGTGAGAAACCCTTTCTATGGAAGAATAATGTTCTCAGGTGGGGGAAACACACCTAAGGTCACATACCTTAAAAAACAGTCTCCGCTAAATATGGCTTTTTTATTTTTTTGAAAACACATTAGAAATAATGTTCATTCAGCTCCTTACATTTTAACATTGAGAAATTTTAAAAACCCTAAATAAATGCATCAAATCATTAAAGATGGACTGCATGTTTTTGTTAGAAAAAGTAGTGAGAGAAAAATAAGAAAAAAGGATAGGAAAAATGTGAGAAAATAGGGAGAGAAAGAATAAAAAAAAAGAAACATTGTCTACGACGTGAGAAAATAAGATGGAGGAATGGAAATAGAAGATTTTTTTTCTGTGTTAATGGCAAATTTTTTAAACCTCTCTAAGAGGTGTTTGTTCTTCCCAGGAATGGCGTGCCTCTTCTGATTCGCCACAGCAGTGCGGGCCATATGACTTTCCTGCAGCATTGGAAATGTACCGTAGCTGCACTGTCCAGCACGGTAGTCACCGGCCTTATGTGGCAATTGTGCGCTTGAAATGTGGCTAGTGTGACTGAGGAGCTGATTTTTTTTTTTTTTTTTTTTTTTGAGACGGAGTTTCGCTCTGTCACCCAGGCTGGTGTGCAGTGGTGTGATCTCAGCTCACTGCAACCTCTGCCTCCAGGATTCAGGTGATTCTCCTGTTTCAGCCTCCGGAGTAGCTGGGATGATAGGCACATGCCACCACGCCCGGCTAATTTTATTTTTATTTTTATTTTTATTTTTAGAAGAGATGGGGTTTCACCATGTTGTCCAGGCTGGTCTTGAACTCCTGACCTCAAGTGATCCGTCTGCCTTGGCCTCCCAAAGTGCTGGGATTACAAGTGTGAGTCGCTGTGCTTGGCCTGAATTTTTAATTTTTAAATTGTAATTAATTCAGAGTTAACCACAGGTGTAAGTAGCTACCATATGTAAAGTGGGACTGTAGATGATCAAAATCTTGCTCCTCCTAGGACCAGTGTTTTCCTGTGTCCACAGTTCTGATATCTGGATTATTTTGGATATTTAGTTTTAGTATATAAATTCACATCTGTTAAGAGTTATCTAAAATCTAGTACACTTACGTAAAATCTGGTCAATACCTCCCTTTACAAGTGAATCACTTAACTCAGGTAAGTTTTAGGACGTTTGACTTTACTTGCATTCTCTTACAAGATCTTTATTTTCTAATGTTTTGAAGTCAGTAGCTAAATGTATCTCTGTTATAAATATTTTCAAATATATTTTTATGTTGTTGTGTGATAGACAGCTATGGGAGATATGTGTTTGGTCTTAAAACATTTATTTACCTTAGTAGTATTTTCTATAGGAAAAGGCCAAGTTCATATTATTAAGATTATATGATCATATGTATATACTAGCATGTAAATTCCAAAAAACAGGGAGTTTTGTTTATTTTGTTCATTGAAATATCCCCATGCCTAGAACAGTGTCTGGGACATATTAGATGTGCATTAAATATTTTAAAAATATATTAAAAATTGTTTTGTTGAACTCCTTAGAATTAATCCTTAGGAATATTTTTAGTTTATTTTATTTGAGGATTGTATTTCTTTCTATAAAATTTCTTCTTTTTGTAACCAATTTACCATGTAATGATTTTTCTATAAAATTTCCATTGTACATCTGATCAGAGACTATTTTAGATTTCAAAGTTTGGAATTTAAATGGCAACTCTCAAACAGTGTTAAATTATTTCTGAATTTATTAGCATTGGCAAAAGACTGTTGGTTGAAGTAATTTTAGGGATGAGTGATAAGCAAATAATGTTTCAGGATCCTTTTGAGTTGCTTTTTCTTACTTTTGAATTTTAACACAACTTTTTTTAAGAAAAGTTAATTTTTTTTCTATTTTGTTATAGATAAGCAAAAAGATTATTTGAATTGCTGTTTTTTAAACTTGCTTTATTTATTGATTTAATTAATTAATTTACTTATTTATTTGAGATAGTCTTGCCCTGTCACCCAGGCTGGAGTGCAGTGGCACCATCTCAGCTCACTGCAACCTCCACCTCCCAGGTTCAAGCAATTTTCCTGCCTCGGTCTCCCTAGTAGCTGGGACTACATGTGTACCCACCACACCCAGCTAATTTTTGCATTTTTAGTAGAGACAGAGTTTTACCATGTTGGCCAGGCTGGTCTCAAATCCCTCACCTCAAGTGATCTGCCTGCCTTGGCCTCCCGAAGTGTTGGGATTACAGGCATGAGCCACTGTGCCTGGTATGTATTGCTGTTTTGTATTTGTAAGAATCTCTGTAATACAGAACTCTCAATACTTTTGATATCCAGTATTAAAATCTGAAAGATAATTTTGTGGATGAAGAATGAAATTGATTCACATGTGTCATGCAGATGTCAGTTGTAGTATGGGCACCAAGTCTTAAATTGAGATCACATGACATAATCTCAGAAGCAGAGATTTCCAAATTAGATCATATGATACTAGCAGTTGTCTGTGTTTGGGATTAAAAGAGTTGAATATGTAATTGGAAATTTAGCAAGGAGATTGTATTGAGATGGCAGACAACAAATTCTATCCTTTTCCCACTTCTCTTCCCTTTTCCAAAGATCTCTGAAAATTACAGAAAACTTAGATACACACACACTTGTGCATACATGAACATGCCCAGAATTTAAATACATGAAGGTGTGCTCTCATGGGCCAGACATTGTAAGAATACTTGAAAAATAGAAGGCACATGGGATTGAATTGAAGGTGAACAAATAACAGTTGCATAATAAAGGCCTTATTCAGAAATGGAAGTGACTCTTGGAGTGCTGTAAGCACACAGAAAGAAGCTATTGGTTATCAATAGTGGCCCTTGGACAATTCTATGGGTTATCGATTGAAGTATCACTGTAGGAAGAGCCAGGTCAGCCTCTCAACCTTATCCCTACTTGTGCTTGCAGTGGATAGCAGAAGAATTTTCCCCAAAAGGTGGTGGCGGGGGTGGCAAGAGGCAGTCCATGTACACTTTTACTGAAAAGGCAGGACAGTGCCCTGGATGGCTTCTGACATTTAGGAGGAAGAGAGAGGCCCCACAAGTTGAGACTGGTCCTAGCCCACTGCTAGGTTTGCATGTCTCCTCCAAAATTCATTTCAAAACTTAATCCCCAATGTGTAGTATTGAGCAGTGGGACCTTTAAGAGGTGATAGGTCATGAGGTCTCTGCCTTCATGAATGGACTAATCCATTCATGGGTTAATGGATTAGTGTGTTGTCATGAGAGAGGAAGTGGTGGCTTTACAAGAAAAGGAAGAGAGACCTGAGTTAGCAAGTTAACACGCTCAGCTTCCTCACCATGTGATGCCCTGTGCCGCCTTGGGATGCTGCAGAGAGTTCCCAGCAGCAAGAAGGTTCTCATGAGATGCCCCCTTGACCTTGGGCTTCCCGGCCTCCACAACTGTAAGAAATGAATTCCTTTTCTTTATAACTTATCCTATTTCAGGCATTCTGTTATAAGCAACAGAAAATGAACGAAAACAGAAAATTGGCACCAAGAAGTGGGATTTTGCTGATGACGAATACCTGAAAATGGGGAAGCAGCTTTGGAACTAGGTAATGAGCGGGGGCTGGAAGAGTTTGGAGGAGCAGGCTATAAAGTGACTGTATTTCAGTGAATGCGATATCAAGGGTGATTCTAGTGAGACTCAGAAAACAAAAAGACCAGGGAACATTTGGAACTTCTTAGAGATTTGTTTTTTGTTTTGTTTTGTTTTTGAGACTCTGTCGCCCAGGTTGGAGTGCAGTGGCGCAATCTTGGCTCACTGCAAGCTCCACCTCCTGGGTTCATGCCATTCTCCTGCCTCAGCCTCCCGAGTAGCTGGGACTACAGGCACCCGCCAGCACACTTGGCTAATTTTTTCATATTTTTAGTAGAGGCAGGGTTTCACTGTGTTAGTCAGGATGGTCTCAGTCTCCTGACCTTGTGATCCACCTACCTTGGCCTCCCAAAGTGCTGGGATTACAGGCGTGAGCCACTGCACCCCGCCAGGATTTGTTAAGTGATTGTAACCAGAATACAGATAGAAATATGGACAGTAAAGGCCATTCTGCTGAGATTTGAGATGGAACTGAGGAAGGTGATATTGGAAACTGGAGTAAAGGCCATCCTTGTTATAAATTGGCAAAGAACTTGGCTGAACTGTGTCTATGCCTGAGGGCGTTGTGGAAAGCCAAACTTGAGATTAATGAACTAGGGTATCTGGCAAAAGAAATTCCTAAGCCAAATGTAGAAGGAGCTACATGATTACATTTGACAGCTTATGCTGATATTCAGGAGCAAAGAAATAATTTAAAGGTAGAATTTATCATGAAAAGGGAAGCAGAGTGGAAGGATTTGGATAACTCTCAGCCTGAGCATGTAAAGAGTTAAAAAGCATTTTTAGCAGAGGAAACCAAGGGTGCAGCCCAGTGACTATTTGCTAAAGAGATTAGTTTGGATAAAAAGGAGACAGGTGCCATTCCTTTAGACGAGGGAAGAAAGATCCCAAAGGCATTTTGAAGATCTTAGAGGGTGCCCCTACTATCACAGGCCCAGAGGCATAGGAGGACAGAATAGTTTCAGAGGACAGGTTAGGGTACACTCCACGGGCTCACTGCCCAAGGCCACCACAAGGGAGTCCCCACCAGCAAGATGGCTCTCACCAGATATGCCTCTTTGACCCTGAACTTCCCAGGCTCCATAACTGTAAGAAATAAATTTTTTTCTTTATAAATTACCCAGTTTTAGGCATTCTGTTATAAGCAACAGAAAATGGACTAAGATACACACCTTGTCAAACTCCACATCTACCATTTTCTTCTTCAAAAATCCTGCAGGTAGAATGCAATAAACAGATCCCACCTGTTCTTAGGCTAACAGGGAATCTCAGTTACCAAGGTGCACACACACTCAAAAGATCTACATTTGAAAAAGAAAAAACCCAGCAAACAAAAAAAGGGTATAATATTCAAGAAACATTAAAACCTGAGGCCAGGTGCAGTGACTCACACCTGTTATCCTAGCATTTGGGAGGTAGAAGCAGGAGGATCGCTTGAGCCAGGGAGGTTGAGGCTGCAGTGAGCCATGATCACACCAGTACACTCTGCCCGGGTGACAGAGTGAGACCCTATCTCTAAGAAAAGGAAAAAAAAAATTTAAAAAGGACAAATTAGAAAAAGAGTTTAGAACAAATATAATTAACATTTATAGAGAGATACAAGAGATTTTGCATCTATTAAAGATGAATCAACTAGGAATTGTGATTAAAGATGGAAGAAAAATGCACATTTGGGCCAAGTGTGGTGGCTCATGCCTGTAATCCCAGCAGTTTGAGAGGCTGAGGCAGGGTGATTGCCTAAGTTCAGGAGTTAGAGACCAGCTTGGACAACATGGTGAAACCCTGTCTCTACAAAAAATAAAAATTAGCCAGGTGTGGTAGTGCACACCTGTAATTCCAGCTATCCAGGAGGCTGAGGTGGGAGGATCACTTGAGGCCAAGAGATTGAGGCTACAGTGAGCCTTGATTGCACCACTGCACTCCAGCCTGGGTGACAGAGCAAAATCCTGTCAAAAAAATAAAGAGAGAGAAAGAAAGAGAAAGAGAGAGAGGAGAAAAGAAAGAAGAAAAGAAAGAAAGGAGGTAAGAAGGAAAGAAAGATACACATTTGACCCCTCTTTTGAAATTTTATTAAAATACCTGTTAAAAGACTTAAAAGGGCATATATTTATAAAAACAAAAAGTAGGAGTTGTGGTTGACCATCAGCATGGTCAGTATGGAAGATTTTTTCATACATTTTTTAAGAAATTGGAAGGATGTTGACTGAAGAAGCAGCAGCCTAGAATAACCGTGGAAAGGGACTGCAGCCAAAGGAGGCAGCTGCCTTCCAGCAGAATACCACAGAATAGCCAGAACTAGCGATAGCAAGTAAGAGAGAAGATAAAAGGTAAAGTTCACAGAAATCAAGAAAATGAATTGAAGGTCTATATGGTATATGGAATAGTTTGCCTTTGCACTCAAAAGGACCTATAACTAGTTATTTTCTTTCAGGAAAAAATAGATAATTCTTTCTAGAAATTGATACACTGTTTAGTTAATACCTCAGAGAGATTTGAGAAGTAATTAATAAAACATTCATGAGAGCAGAATATTTGACAAAGGAGCAATCAGAATAAGAGAGAGCTCTTGGAAATTAAAACTATTAATATGATTACTGACCTTAACTTTTTTGTTTAAAATTTTGGAAGATAAATATAAGGACATCTACTCTATTGAACAAAAAGATAAATAAATAGAAAATGTGAGACATTGAGGATTAAATCTATAAGTCCAATGTTTGATTAATATGAGTTCCAGGAGAAAAAAAGAAAATGGAAGGATTAAATTGGTTAAAGAAATATTAGGGGCTCATGGCTGTAGTGTCAGCACTTTGAGAGGCTGAGGATCACTTGAGGCCAGGAGTTTGAGACCAACCTGGGCAACATATTGAGACTCCATTTCTACAAGAAATGAAAAAAAATACCTGGGCATGGTGGCATGTGTCTGTAGTCCTACCTACACAGGAGGCTGAGTTAGGAGGATCACTTGCACCCAGGAAATTGAGGTTACAGTGAGCTATGATCACAGCACTGCACTCTAGCCTGGATAATAGAGCAAATCTTTGTCTCTATTAAAAGAAAAGAAAATAGTAAAACAATAAAACAAATAAGTCCAAATACATAAATAATTACAATAAATATGAATAAGTTTAATTCATCTATTAAGAAATAAATTCTTTTTTTTTTTTTTGAGACAGAATTTTGCTTTTGTTGCCCAGGCTGGAGTGCAGTGGCACAATCTTGGCTCACTGCAGCCTCCACCTCCCTGGCTCAAGCAATTCTCCTGCCTCAGCCTCCCAAGTAGCTGGGATTACAGGTGCCTGCCACCATGCCTGGCTAATGTTTTGTATTTTTAGTAGAGACGAGGTTTTGCCATGTTGGCCAGGCTGGTCTCAAACTCCTGGCCTCAGGTTATCTGCCAGCCTCAGCCTCCCAAAGTGCTGGTATTACAGGCATGAGCCACCGTGCCCAGCCAGAAATAAATTCTTAATAGGCAAATGCTAATAAGGAGGAAACAGATGTAGTAATAGTAATGACAGTCAGAATAGAATTCCAACCTCGTGCAGTAGCTTGTGCCTATAATTTCAGCTACTCAGGAGGGAAGTTGAAGCAGAAGGACTGCTTGAGACCAGGAGTTCAAGACCATCTGGGCAACATAGTGAGACCTTATCTCTAAAAACATAAAGATAAAAATAAAATTCTAAGTGAATTATATTTAAGGGCAATATATATTTCATCTTTATAAAAGTTACACACTACCTAGAAGATGTTAAATTAATGATCCTTGTGGATCTGAAGACATTGTTTTAAAATATAAAAGCAAATAACTAGTGGAAAGAGTAGACTAGGTAAATCCACCATCAGAGTAAAAGATTTTTATCATACCTCTTCCATAAATAGATAGATTAAATAATAAAAATAGAGAAAAAGATTTAAATAAGTGATTTTAAAATTCTCAATTTAATATCTGTAGGTGGTATAGAATTTGAACCCAATAAGCAAATAGTACTAATTCTTTTTCAATCATACTTGGAGCAGTGACAAAAATTGACCATGTGTTATGTCACAAAGAAAATCTCAATGAAGAGAAAAAAGGCAAAGATTTTATAGTACATTCTGCTTACCACAATATAGTAAAATTAGAAATGAACATAAAAGGACAGCAAAAATATCCTCTTGGAAATTAAGAAAAAAAAATCACATTTTTGAATAAATCTTGAGTTAAAAGAAAATAAACACAAAAATTACAAACTAATTAAAAATGAAAGAATGAAAGTTAAACAACTACAATACAAAGAATAAAGTCAATAGAACTTAAAGAACTTTTATATTTTCAAGTACTTTTTTTTAAAAAGAAATATTTAAAATAATCCTAAACTTAATCTTATAATTTAGTAAGCAAATTACAAATTAAAAGAAAATGAAAGAAGAGAATTAATAAAGATAATAGAGGAAATTAAAAATTAAAAACAAATAAAAAATCAGTACAGTAATTGATAAAACCAATAGCTGGTTATGTGAAAAGATAAACAGATAAATGTTTAGAAGATCAAATTAAAAAACACAAATTAATAATATTAGGACCCAATAAGAGGTCATAACTATGGGTGCAGAGTTAAAATATATACATGATTAATATATATTCAGTAACATAGCTGACAAAGTGGAGAATTTCACCAGAAACTGAAACCTGTGAAAATGTATCAAATGTAAATCCTAGAACTGAAAAGTACAATAATGGAAATTGAGAACTCTTAGATTGGTTTAACAGTGGATCAAACACAGCAGAAGGCAGGATTAGTGAACTGAAAAACTAGATTATTT